CGATGCATCATCAATTCAGAAACTGGAGCTCTGGAATTTCAGTGATAGACCCGTTCGAATGGGAAAAAGCCCACCCATTAAGATTGGGTATCTGGCATCGCTACCACCTCTTCTTACGCTAAAATACTTACTGGAAAGCATTCCTGTATTTCCTATCAATAGTTAATAAATTATCCTTTCTTGTGTATTTAATTTTTTATTCTGAAGAATAATTCGCTCTGTTAAAGGTATGTGGGTGGGTCATATGCGGTTAGAAAAGCAAACGTCACAATCTGCAAGTTTTTTGGGGAATGACAAGGGCTGAGGGTAAATAAATTGTATTGTGTAATGGCAATGGAAAGGAGGTGGTGGGAGGGAGGGAGCAAGAATCGAGTGCTCGTACCTACAATCCCCTTGTTACCGACCCCTCTGCTCTATACCAGCCGAATTCCGAACCGTATGGCAGGGCTAGTAAAATTCGATAAACAAGATTTACCTCCACGTAGTACACCTCGGGTAACGCAAACTCATACCGGCAGTGGACTTCTGACTTCAAAATACCATCAACCCCCCCCCCCCTGTATGTCATATTCCACCACTTCCGCGGTACTCACCTTACTTTTTCTCTGTCTTTTTCACGTCGGTGAATCATTCGTCTATTCCCCCCTCTCGACATTTTTTCACTTTGATGTTCCTTCTCCTCTCTGTGAAGCCTGAAGTCAGCTAAAGCTCGTGGCAAATAAGGTTTGTTATAAAAAAAAATTAAATTAATAAAGACTTAAAACTTTCGGGAGTCTTAATCATCAGCTCCAGATTCGTTTAGGGTCTCGTTGAGACAATGGCTTTCAATGCAAGGGGGGGGGGGAACGAATGTTTGCATTCAAATGCTTGTCAAAATTCAGTTCAAAACCGCACTTTCGATTTGGTTGGAGGTACTTTTGCTATCGTCAATGGAGTTACCCAGCTATAATTCAGCGTTAGCTTGTGGTTATATCTTCTACCAGCTAAGGTAACAGGGAAACACAGCAAGATATCAGTTATAAAGGATATTCAATATATTTGGCACAAGAAAGCATTTGTATTATTAAGAAGCTTATAAAGAGAAGAGGTGGGGTGGCGGGGGTGGGGAGGAATCAGAGGGGATAATTCGTAGGTGAGAGGGAAGAGTGTGGAAAATCACCGTCGACCTCCACCACCTCTCCCACCTCGTCCACCTCCTCGTGAACCTCCTCTGGTACCCCCGCTGCCACCACGTCCCCGTTCGCGGCCTCGTGCGTTGAACGAATTGTTTGACGGGGAAGAAGCGTTGAAGTTGCCTGCCGCTTTTCTAGCAGACAGTAGCTTGCACATAGTCTCCGAGCAGAAGATGCAACCTGTGAACTTTGGGGGCATCTCACTCTCTCCTCCGCCTCCATCGCCACTGCCACCGGTGCTTTTCAATTTGCTCTGCAGGCGAAAAGGAAGCAAGGAGAACCACTTTTTGTTTGTTTGTTTTTTTGTGATTCAGATAAGAAGGATGCTACTTAAAAAGACATGACTTACGGTGTCGATGTGGAGAGTGAGATGACGCGCCGTGCATTGCTCGCAAGTGGCTTTTCGCACTGCGGCGGATTTAACTGCGTCGGAGAAGAGGATCATGGCGGGACAGCTAAAGGAAAGTGGATAAGCATGAAGTAGAGCCACGTTATTGATCGTAAGGATGAACCCCTACTAGTTGCATTCGGGCAGAGAAATAACATTAACATCTAAGCACAGATAACGATGACTTATATACGCCAAACACGTATATACCCTCCCAAGCCCATTATAGAAAGGGTTCACACCGCTTCACTTGAGGAGAGGGAAGATATCCTGGAATCCCATACATGGAAAGCCCGCATTTTACCAACCTTCATTTTTGTAGACCAGAATTAGCCATCATCCACATCACTTGGCGTGCACTAACGAACGTTGACCTTGTTATCTCTAAACATCGACCTCTTAGCACATCGACAACCTACAATCATTTTAGGATATCTCCAGGTTGAAGCGCATCTACTTCAGGATGAGGTTTTAATTTTAAATTTTAATTAAGTCTTCAATAAATATCCTTCAATCGCCACGAAAGGATATTCTCCCTTGTAAATATTCCAAATTATTTACCAAGTGAGCGGGTCCGTTCTTAATATTTCAGTTCAACACTATACAGACTCTTGTGTCAACAAGATCCGCTGTCAACTCACTCATCCAGTCTGATATGACCTCTCGATCCTAAAGAAATCGATTGAACTCAACTCTGCAGTCACCAATTCTTCTGGGGACTCTCCTTAAAATAAACCACTTTGTTCGCAAACCCCCCAACCCCCCACCCCATCCGTCGCTGCTTCACCAACTTCTGGCTCCGGTCTGTCTATTGGTGACAACAAAGCGACATAGGCGAATTAACAAATAGGCTTCTCTTACTCCACTTCACAGAGAACTTGAGAAGGGGAAAACACCCCCACCCCCCTCCAAATAAGGCAACTCCACAATCACGCTCTCCTTTCTCACCAAAATATCCCTATTTAAATAGGCAGTAAATAAGATGAATGAATGCTTACTGATTACAGCAGAGACGGAATTTCGGAGCATGAGCATCATCAAAGACAAGAGTTCCACGAGGACATTCAGTGCAAGCGTCTACACCATTGACAGCCAAAGAGAAATTGCAGGAGGGATGAGGGCAATTTGCACATCCGGCATTTCGCCACTGGCCCGGGAAGGGAGGATTTGTGTAACAGTAGGGGCAAAACACCATGCTCTGCAGAAAAACAAAAAATGTGGGAATAAATCACCCAGCTACTTATAGGTAATCAGTAGCGTGTGTGTGTGTTTAGAACGCTACCTTCCCCTTGGCTCCCTGTGTCCATAGAACAAGTTCAAAGTCATCAAGAGGACACTTGGTTTCTTTATAAGGTCTGATGGAACCGTTCTGAGGGACACTGTACGTGTCCGCACAAAAGGGACAATGCAGACGGAGTGGCTGGGACTCCACAAGTTTAAGGTAGCGCCGGCACTTTCCACACCTTGTGAGAGGTCGTCCGCAATCTGATAGACTAGAGAAAGAGACTTCGAAGAGCTGATCCATTGCTGCAATGTGTTGGACGAAGTAACGGTATTTGGTGGCGAAAATGGCCAGAACAAATTGAAGAACGGCACGGAAGTCGGCTTGACCGGTGGCAATTTGGTTCAACTGCTCTTCCACAGCTCGACGCATATGCGGAAGGACTAGTTCCGAGTCGATGGAATGGTAGCCGTGAACCAACACCACCCCCAGTGCAGTTGGTTTCAATCGACGGCCTGGCAAAATCTGTGGTTAAAGATAACAAATAAAATTCGTACATTCACTGCTTCGAATGACATAAGAGAGTTCACCCTGAGAGCTACGCCAGTCTCAACTACTCGACATTGGCCTCAAATGCAAAGAAGTAAATACAGAGTCATCACGTGACCAGTCAAGGACTGAAATTTAGCAAGACCTGAATACAAATGGCCCGATCTCTCACACATATGAATTTGGGAGACAAATAATGAGTAAATCATCACTAGCAACGAAAATGGCACAACAAGATGGATACGAAAGGGGAGTTCTCAAAAAAAAGAAATCATAGAGACTCGAGAAGGAAAAATGTAGAAAAAAAATCTGTACATTCCATTCCTCAATGGAAAACTGATGCAAATAAAATTACGCTAAATTCAGAAATACGTACCTCAACATATGCTCTCTCAACGATATTTTCGATGTGCACTGGAATCGAGGCATCTGTTCCAATTCCGTGCTTTTCCATGGCAGTGATGAGCTCAGCCTCTGAGAGGTAGTTGGGAGGCCCGGTTTGGCCCTCAACCAAACGGGGTTTCTCTCCAAGGGCGAAATTTGAGCCCAGAGTTGTAAGGGCAAGAGGAAGAGTAACCTCGGGTCCATCACATTCCTCCCCATCCTGTCCCCCCTCAACCCCCACGGAGGAGCCAATTGCCTGCCAAGTGAAAATGCGCGTGTAACCCGGATCAATAACGCTGGAGGCCCGTGTGGTAAATTTCTCGTCGCCGATGCTTAATACCACTGTGGTTGTCTCGTACTTGCAGTCCGGCATCAGCTTGAAAAAAAGGGGAACAAGAAATGGGCATGATGCACCCTGGACAGCGTATACTCATACGGCAAACAACAAGTCTATAACTCGGCATTTGACTTCAGACTATTATGACCAGCCTGAAACGAAACTTCAAAAGGAGAAATCGCCCTTGTCGGGGCGAATCACAACTTCTACGGATCCTTCAGTGGAATGCTGGAGGGATGTCACACGACAAGAAGATCCAAATCCAGAAAATTCTGCACACATATGATATAGACATATTCACAATCATGGAAGCCAACCTTACGGATGATAAATTCAAATACTACCAATTCCTAGGTTACACCTTATATCTCCTAACTAAAGGCCGGCAAGACGATAGTGGAATATTGACTAGAGTGACAGGTCTCACATTACATTGCGAAATAATCAAGAGTATGGGGTAAATGCAGGAAATATGTGAAATAGACAGATAAAATACATCGAAAAGTTAAAATCACTTCAAGATATACGCGGTCTATAATCCACCAAAGAAAAGACCCAACTTTGATCTTCTGAACATCTCACACATCATCAATATTATAATCAGATATGTAAAGAAACCTATTAACACATAATGTACCATTCAGCTCTCACAAAACGCTTATGGTGAAGACAGTAACCACTAATTACTTCCTATTAGAAGGAGGTCAAAAGTTAAGGAAAACATGCTGAAACTATTCAACAAAATCTGGGAACCAGACTCGTACCTACCCAATGGACAGTTGCCATAGTAATACCAATACTAAAAATGGCAATGACCATAGCATCTTTGACAACTATAGGCCTATCTCCCTTACATACACATTGGCTAAACTTTTGGAAAGAATGGTTAACAGGAGGCTGACCTAGTTCCTTGAGACCAACACCACTCTTAGAAACTAACAAGCACGTTTTAAGCCACAAAGATCAACAAACCAATACATCAAAGATGTCCTTGGTGCAAGAAATACTCTTACATCTACATTCATGGATTTCAAATCGGCATATGGCTTAGTATGGAAAGAGAATCTAATTCTAAAATTGGCGAAGATGGGTATAAAGCATAACATGCTAAACTGGATAAAGGCATTCATTGAGAAGAGATTATGTAAAGTCAGCTATGGAAACGAACTCAATGCTGCGATTAAACAGGTAAAATTCAAAAATGCTAATGGTGAAGACGGTAACCACTAGTAACTTCCAAATAGAATGAGGTCACAAGTCAAGGAAATCAACCTGACACTAATCAAGAAAATATGGGAGAACAGTCTTGTACTTACCCAATGGACAGCTGCCATAGTAATACAAATACTAAAAGAGGACAAAGACCCTAGAAACTTTGACAACTATAGGCCTATCTCTCTCACAAGCATGTTGGCCAAACTTATGGAAAGAATGGTTAACAGGAGGCTGACCTGGTTCTTTGAGACCAACAACATTTTTAGGTGTGAACACCTGGCTTAACTTATGGAAAGAATGGTTAACAGGAGGCTGACCTGGTTCTTTGAGACCAACAACATTTTTAGAAACGAACAAGCAGTCTTTAGACCACAAAGATCAACTAACCAGCAGGTAGCCAACATATCAAAGATGCCCTTGATAAAAGATATACTCTTACAGCTGAAGTCATCAATTTCGAAACAGCATAAGAACTAGTATGGAAAGAGAACCTAATTCTAAAATTGGCAAAGATTGGTATAAAGCATTGGACAGAGATTATGTAAAGTGAGATACGGAAATGCTCTGTCAAAATTGAATCTTTTACAAACAGACCTACACAGGGAGTTGTCACAAGCGGCTCTCTTTTCAACGTCTTCATCAATGACATAGACGAACTGGTACAGACAGTCACGTGCATCGAGTGCTTACTATATGCAGATGATCTTGTTCTATGGTATTCCTGACCCCAAGAAAAATACTCAGGAGAGGACAGAAAGTGCCCTAAATTGTGCACCTAAACTACTAGCAAACTGGTGCGACAACAATGGAATTGTTATCAACACCGCGAGAACTGCATTCCAAACATTTTCTTTGACCCGTCACAGCATAAACCCGCATCTAAGGCACAAGGATACTTCCCTAGAAAAAAACCAATGAGTTCACATATCTCGGAATGACGTTTGAGAAAACCAATGAGTTCACTTATCTCGGAATGACGTTTGACAGATGAGTTCACATATCTCGGAATGACTTTTGACACAAAGCTAAAGTTTACTTATCTCGGAATGACGTTTGACACAAAGCTAACGTGGAAAACGGTCACATTGCGCCAAATAGCAGAACGCGTCTCCAATAGACTGAATGTCCTGAACAATTTTGACACAAAGCTAACGTGGAAAAGTCACATTCCTAAAGTAGCAGAACGAGTCTCCAATAGACTGAAGGAACTGAAGCGCCTGGATGGTAGCGTATGGGGCTGTGCACGCTCAACTCTCAATACCACTTACAAGATGTTTATTCAGCCAATAATGTTGTATTGCTGTGAGCCACTCATTACAGCCACAGAGGTGGCTCTCAAACCACTCGAGAAGGCACACAACCAAGCATTACGACTAATTACTGGAGGGATAAAAACGCGAAATGGCCCAATATAGGAAAGCAGATACCCCTCCAGATCAAACACGCTCACTGGCCCTTGAGACAATCAATGTCAACTACCCAGCAGATAAATGACCCCAAGTCTTCACTGATGGGTCATACATTTATTTACATCAAATGGCAGGCGTTTTGATGGCTATCATAACGTAATGTGTGTATACCATTCTTTCCCAATTCATGAATAATAAAGATCGGATCAGTGGTCACAACTCGGTCCATTTATGAAATGGAAGAGTCAGTTGCCCACTTCTACAAAAGAACTAAAAACTTGAAT